TAAATAAGGAAAAAATAAAAAAACAGTATACATAGAAATGGACTTTTTTAAACGTCAGAATAGTTCAAGGAAAGGACTGAAATTCTATAATCTGCTTTTTCTCAACTCTTGTTGAATTAACTTCCTTCCTGCATATATAAATAGTTGCTAATTTAAACAAACTCTTTCATTTTAAAGATTCGCCGATTCTCAGTCCAGCTAATTCTGCAATCAATTTAAGTGGAGCTCAGGACCTGACCCGGAATAAGAATGTTGTGAAACCACTGGCTTTATCTTTGCAGGTTGTAGGGAAGACTTTTGCTGCAGGTGATGTTTTCCTCACTTATATTTCTTTGGTAAATACATAGTCCATAAAAGACTTGTGTGACATTTAATTGACAAATTGATAGAAGAAAACAGAAGCTGCCTGTCCCTGCCAGTTGAAGAGAGAACTGGGGCTGTCTGTAATAACGTACTAGTGTGCGAAGCTTTGTGTTCCTTACATTCCAGCCAGAAGAGTCAGGGAATGACACTTGGTACTTGGAAGTGACATAACAATTTGATTCCATTTAACAAACATTTCTTGGGCACCTGCTTTAACTAGGAACTGGGAATACAAAGATAAATAAGGTTCAATCCCTGACCCCCAGTTTGCTTGTAATCTAGTGGGGGAGATAGACCTCTGACAAGATATTTTCAGTGTACTGTAGCAAATATGGCAATGTACAGAAGAACACAGAACAAAGGGGTTTTTTTTAGCCCAGCATTGTAGGAGTAATTAAGAATAAGTTCTCAGAGGAATCTGGTCTTTGACAATGAGGAGATCTTCACTGTACAAAGGAGTAGAGGAAAAGCAATTCAGATTCAGGGAACAGCAGAAACAATGGTTAAAAGGAAAAGAAGGGAAGAGGCGAAAACAATATGATATATGCAAGAATTTCCAGCAATTTGGACTTGTTAGGACCATAAAATGTAAAACTCAAAAAGTGGCAAGAGGTGAGTAAGTGATGGTTAAGGGAAAAGTTATAGGCAGCCAGGCTAAGAAACGTGGATTTCACTGTATACTTATAGACCAGAGGAATGGCATGGTTCGATTTGAACTTGAGCTAGATCATTTTGGCTGTAATGTGTAAGAAGAAGACGAGATAGGAAAACTAGTTGGAGGTCATTTCAGTCGTCTCGGTGACAAATGATGAGGTCCTTGGCTAGAGGGATAATAGGTTGCAGAGGAGAGGACAAATTAGAGAACTACTCAGGAAGTGAAACCAGCAGGAATTAACTGATTAATGTGAGCATCAAGGAGAAGAAGGGGTCTCAGTTGACATTCAACTTTCTGGGCTTATGTTGATGCCATCATCTGAGACAGGGATACAGAAGGAGGATCAGGTTCTCCAGTGGGAGATTGTGAGTTCAATTTTGGAAATGCTGAATTTGAGATTCCCATAAGACATCCACGTGGAGCTGTTCAACAGCCATTTAATTTATCACAGGGATAATTCAGGACTGAGGGTGTAGAGTAGAGCCACCAACATCTAGTTAAAGTCATCAGTGTAAATAGTATAAGCCAAGGAGAGATGTAGGCTGAGGCAAGCTGTGAACAAAAGATAGGATTCATCTGGGCACAGTGACTCACACCTGTAAACCCATTACTTTGGGAGGCGAAGGCAGGAGGATCATTTGAGGCTAAGAGTTCCAGACCAGCCCAGGTTACAAAGTGAGACCTGGTCTCTACAAACGATAAAAAAAA